CTCGTGCATCAGAGGAAAGCTGGCGTGACACACCTTCCCCAGCAAGGGCTAGGATGCTAAGGAGGCACTGGCTGTCGTGCACATTGACTTGTGCGGGCCATTTTGGGTGGCTGCCAAGGATGGCAGCTTGAAATTTCTGCTGCTGAAGGATCGCCATACTCGGTTTGTGTGGGCAATGCCAGTCACTAAGAAGAGCGATGTGCAATGGGAGTTCCAGAGGTGGCTGGTGTTGGTGGAACGGCAGACGAAGAAGTCGGTGCTGTCGCTTCGCTCAGACCGGGGAGGGGAGTTCCTTGAGAAGGAGTTCACCGACTTCGTCGACGGGAAGGGCATTGTCCACGACCTCACGTGCCCTTACACTCCGCAGCAAAACGGCATGGCTGAGCAGGAAAAGCGCACGGTCGTCAAGTCCGTGCGGACGATGCTGCTGCACATGGGCATGCAGCACCACTGGCGGCACCTCGCTCTATGACAAGCTGTCTGGGTGCGCAACTGCTTGGAGCGGTCGACGACGACGCCAGGGACGACTCCGTAACAGTTGCTGACCGGAAAGAAGCCCGACCTCACAATGGCGCGGGTGTGGGGCTGCATGGTGCAGTTCCTGGTTCCTGAGCATTAGTGCGGTGGGAAGCTGGTGCCGAAAGCTCACTGGGGGCTTCATCTAGGTGTGTCGTCGCAGAGCAAGGGCTGGGGGGTGCGCGACCTGACAAATAATAAGGTGGTCACATCGGTCGAGGTGACCTTCTAGGAGACGCTGTCATGGACGCCAGCAAGAAGGGGCGTCGACTTCACTTCCTCCTTGCAGAGTTCAAGCAGCTCGATGCTGGGAAGCCGACTGTTGTCCGAGTGGACAACAAGGCGACCATCAAGGCCGCTCAGGACTTGGGGCTGACGGGCAACGACTTTCTCCTCCTTCCCTTCCTAGCCTATCTCTTGTCTCTTTCCCCTGGCCCTATCAAGCCCCTCGGATTTGTCCCTCGTCTCCTGTTCCCGGTTTTTACTCTATGAGCCTCTGTTCTCTTCCCCCTCGTGTTTTGCCTCCTTTTATACCGTTACCTCCCCAGTCGTCCCTTATTGTCTCTCTTCCCCCATTCCCAGTCTTTCTCCATGTTGCTCGCCCGTGTCCTTTCCGCCTTAGTTACTGACCTACTGCTTCTCCCTCGTCTACCTTGGATCTTATCACTTCTATCACCAACTTTGCCTCCACCCACTGCCTTGACTATGCCACTCGGTGTATGCTCCTGCCCATCCTCCATTCATCGGGGGTGCTCCTGCCCTTGACAGTGACGTCCTAGAGGATAGGCCATTTGAGTTGGCTTTTCTTGCGATCGCTACTCCTCACCTCGGTGCCATGCTGCTAGCCCCTAAGGGTGACCCAGACGCTCTTGACATCCCGACCCCTCGCACCTATGCTAAGGTAGTCTCGGGACGTTGGGCCTATTAGTGGATAGTGGTCATGGACACAGAGATGGCATATTGGAGGTCCACATGCACTTACGTTGATGCAGTTCCCCCACTTGGGGCGAACGTTGTTGACAGAATGTAGGTCTTCAAGGTGAAGTGGCCACCTGGAGTGCCGCCTACCTCTAACGTGCGCTATGTGGCAAGAGGCTTCAGTCAATGAGAGGGGGTTGACTTCTTTCATACCTTCTCCCCCACCCTGAAGATAGCCACTCTTTGGGTACTAATGCACATCGCGGTGCTTCTTCTCGTCTTCTGCCGATCCTTCTCCTTTCGTTCGTGCTAGTGAGACTCTGTTCTATATTCTTGTCTACGTTGATGACCTGGTTTTTGCATTAACGAAGGACGGTCTGCTGAAGAGACAAACTTGCACTGACCTAGGTGAGCTGCACTGCGATCTTGGCTTGTGGATCACTAGGGACAGAGCAGCGCGCACCATCAATCTGACTCAGTCACACATGGTGCAACAGATCCTTGAGCGATTCAGCCTTCGGTCCTCTACACAACCCACTTCTCTTACTGTTGACCATAAGCTCTCGAATCCTGTCTCTTCGGGCTGGTATCCCGAAGCCGATGTGGCTTGTCAGGTGCAGACAACAGCCGACGGATGCACAGCGATGCAAGTCGGGCCAATTGTCTACGCGCACTTGCAAGCATGCGCACTGCTGTCTTCTACGGGGCAACGCTGGACAGCCGCTCTGCTGTAGTGTTGGCACGCCGTCGACCTGCTCTGTTGGCAGGTCGCCCTTCTGTAGTGCTGGAGCGGCTCCTCTACGCAACGCTGGCAGGCAGTCGACCAAGCTGTGCTGGCAGTCGACCAGGCTAGATGCAGAGTTGCTAGGTGCCTATTGTAGACATTGTTGTCATTTCTTGTTGAATCATTCTGTAATTTCCACTTTGCTAGTGGAAACTCTTGCCGATTTCTCCCGTGAACTAAGCAAAGCTATTATCATTCCTAATAGTTTGTGCCAACCCCCATAGTCTAGCTCACTACCGTTCTAGAGTGACTCTCCGCAATGCACTCGTATATAACTTGCATATCCTTTCACTATACTTGCTCTTTTTTTTTGGGACCGGGAGATACCGACTTGTGCATCGGTACAACCTTGGGCGGTACTACTAGCCCAACCTCTGAGACAAAGGGACACAAGGCCATTCAATGAGTATAACCAGACAAAGTCAAATCAACTATATTATACAGAGATCAAGATCCTAATAAGCGGTGTCCCGGTAAGACGAGGCCAAGCTATGTGCAGAACCGCTGATGATCATTAGGCAGGAGTGCCTCAGTGAAGATATCAGTGATGTTGGCCCCTAAGGCTAAGTGTACTACGAGTGCCTGGCCGTGCGGCTGCAACTCATGTAACACGAAGTACCATAGCTGAATGTGCTTCGCTCGACCCTCCACTCTAGGCTCTTGACATAGGAGGATCATGGCCATGTGATCAGCAAACAGGACTAGTGTAGAGCTAGGCGGCCCACCTAAGTTAGTGAGAAAGAGCGACAATCAGCGGAGCTCCTAAGCACCAGTGTAGATCTGTTTGTGTGAACATGCGTAGCTTTGCCACCAGCCTTTGGTTTTTGCTCATTGACTACGTTGCAATCTCAGAACGACGCTGGTAGACATCTCTTGGTGGCAAGCACAGCAGACCATGTGCCCTCGATGCTTCGCTGCCCCAGTGACTCTCCCCGTATGTTGGCTTTCTTTCTTCCATTACACTCACCTGTTGATGCTTCAGGTGGTTGCGTTAATGGGTCATGTGATGAAGATTAATGTAGATGATAATAGAGGGTCATGTAGCCTGCGCACCCCATTCTCTTGCTTACAAACCAACGTTCTAGCCTTTGTTAATTTTGATAGGCCTAAAGTTTTACTTGCCAACCTACATACAAGGTTCCATTTGTCGTTACCCAGTGCGGAATGTATATATTTCCACCGCGGATACAGTGATGGCTTCGGTTATTCGGTGGGTGATTTTGCTGACCAATCGGGAGGCTTCGCCTCACAACCCTTGCGCCACTGACTTCAACCCACAGGAGCAGAGGTATTTCAGACCAGACTCTCGAGCATATCGAACGGATGGTCCGAAAAACGAACCTTCGTGTGCAAAATGAGCACACGCCCTGGCGCGAAATTGAGCATGTAGGCGGTGTTCGCTAGCACCTTTGAAAGCAAAAATGACGAGAAACGACGGGATCAGGAAGGTCAGCCCCGCCTTCCTCATGTCAGAATATATCTATAGCTTATACTGTTGTGTAGGCTGTAGTGGGGTATTCCATAGGGGGTACAACCCAGTTAGGGTTTCATATTTGTACTGCCTTCATTCATAGTTCATTCATTCCTGCTCACTAGTTTCACATGGTATAGAGCGGGTCCTTCCTAAGGACCGTTTCTTAAAGGGCCCACCCACGAATTTTTTTTTTTTTTTTTTTTTTTTTTCCTTCCCGGAGCGCGTCCTACTCTCCCCGAGGCGCGCCCCCCCCCTCCCCCTGGTGCTTTTCGCGCTGCTTTTGTGGGCCCCCGCGAGTCGCGCGCGCGATTTTTTTTTAGCGCGCGCGGTTCGGGCCCACGTCGCGCTGGCCTTACGGCCGCGCCGCGCCGCCCTCTCGGCCCTGCTGCGCCCCGCTGCCCTCGAGCCGGCCGCGCGGCCTCTTCGTCGCGGCCGCGGGCCCCGTCACCTGACGGCCCCGCCGTCTCTTTTTGACGGCCCCGCCGTCCACTACTCCCGGCCCCGCCGCTGCACCTTGACGGCCCCGCCGTCCCCGGTCCCGGCCCCGCCGCTGCACCCTGACGGCCCGCCGCTGCACCTCTGTCGGCCCAACCGCTGCACCTTGACGGCCCCGCCCGTCCCTGTCCCGGCCCCGCCGCTGCACCTCTGACGGCCCCGCCGCTGCACCTTGACGGCCCCGCCCGTCCCTGTCCCGGCCCCGCCGCTGCACCTCTGACGGCCCCGCCGCTGCACCTTGACGGCCCCGCCGTCCCCTGTCCCGGCCCCGCCGCTGCACCCTGACGGCCCCGCCGCTGCACCTTGACGGCCCCGCCACTGCACCTTGACGGCCCCGCCGTCCCCAGTCCCGGCCCCGCCGCTGCAACCTGACGGCCCCGCCGTCCCCTTTGACGGCCCCGCCGTCCCCTGTCCCGGCCCCGCCGCTGCAGCCCGACGGCCCCGCCGTCCTCTGTCCCGGCCCCGCCGCTGCAACCTGACGGCCCCGCCGTCTCCTGTCCCGGCCCCGCCACTACACTGCAGCCGAGCCGCCCAGCAGCAGCCGAGCCGCCCTGCAGCAGCCGAGCCGCCCTGCACCCGAGCCGCCCGGGACCCGAGCCGCCCTGCCGCCGAGCCGCCCGGGAGCCGAGCCGCCCTGCACCCAAGCCGCCCTGCCGCCGAGCCGCCCGGGAGCCGAGCCGCTGTGCACCCGAGCCGCCCGGTAGCCGAGCCGCCATTCTGCAGAGCTGCACGACCTGCCCTGCCTGGTGAGCACAGTCCCACTGTCACTGCGAGCTCTTTCCCTACTGCTTGCACTGCTTCGCTTTCGTCGCCATGGCTACCCCTAGTGTCCTAGCTTTTGACGCGGAGGGTCGCGCCATTGATTTTGAGGTCTGGCTAGACGACCTGCAGCTGTTCTTACAGTGCGACAGAGCTGACGGTCTTTCTCTCTTTGACCTCACCTCTGGCGCCTCTCCTGCTCCTGCTGCCGATGCTGATCCCACTGTCCGCTCTCAGTGGGCCACCCGCGATGCTGCTGCACGTCTTGCTGTGCGTCGCCACCTCCCTACCTCTGAGCGTGCGCACTTTAGTCAGTACAAGAGTGCTCAGACCTTGTACGACGCTGTAGTTGCGCGCTACTCCTCCCCTACCACTGCTGCACTGAGCCGTCTCATGCTTCCCTACCTCTTTCCTGACCTCTCTGCCTTTCCCACTGTCGCTGACCTCATTACGCACCTCCGCACTAGTGACACTCGCTACCGCGCCGCCCTTCCTGCTGAGTTCTGCGCTAAGAACCCCCCCCCCCATGTACATCACTCTCTACTACGTAGTCGCGCGCCTCCCTGACTCCCTTCGTGTAGTCAGGGACCACTTTCTCGCAGTCTGTCCCACCAATCTCACCGTCGACCTCCTCGAGAAGGCCCTCCTCTCAGCTGAGAAGAGCATAGTTGCTGTAGGGGCTTCTCGTGGTGACCCTCGCACCCCCATCTTTGAGGGGTGCTCTCCTTCCCCCTTGCTGCCCTCTGTTGCCTCTGCTGCTGCTGCCGACCTGCTTGGTCTTGAGTCGGTCGGCGCGGCGTCTGCCCCTATTGGGAGACGTTGCTCTAGCAAGGGCAAGGAGGGCAAGGGCGCGGGTGGAGCTGGAGGGAGCGGTGGAGGTGGCGGCGGTGGCGGCGGCAGGAGTGGGGGTGGCGGCGGGAGTAGTGGTGGTGGTGGTGGTGGTGGCAGCAGCGGCGGAGACGGTGGTGGTGGTGGCAGCGGTGGTGGAGGTGGCAGCGGCGGAGGTGGAGGCGGCGGAGGTGGAGGCGGTGGAGGCGGCGGCGGAGGAGCAGGAGGTGGTGGAGGGAGCGGAGCTGGTCGGGGTAGTACCCAGAAGCGTAGCAGCGGTGGTGGTGGCCAGCGCTCGCAGCGGCAGCAGCAGCAGCGCTCGCGGGACATCCCTCCGCACCAGCAGCTTCGTGAGTGGTACGCTGGGCGTCAGAGGGGTGGGGGTACTGGTCCCTGCACCTACGTTCTTCGTTCCGGGGACCGCGCGGGTGAGCAGTGTGGGGGTGCCCACGCCACTCAGCGCTGCTTTGGCCGCCTGACAGACGCTTGGCGTCAGCAGTTCCCCGGGGCTAGTGAGATCCCTCGTTGGGATGAGCTCCTTAGGGCTGGTGTAGCGATCTTTGATCTTGATTTTGATGCTATCCTTGCTGCTATGTATGCTGTGACTTATAGTGAGGAGAATGAGGGTTACCGGTGTTTCCAGCCCGACCCGGGCATTGGTACTGCTGCGCTAGGTGCTTGTGACGCTGCTGCTCTAGGTGCCAGTGCGTCTGCGCTCTCAGGTACTGGTGAGGCTGCGCTTTCAGGTACTGAGTCGCCCTCGTCCTCCCTCACTTTCACACTTGACTCCGGAGCTTCTCGCTCCTTCTTTCGAGACCGCACTACCCTTACGCCTCTTGGCCGACCGGTTGCGGTCTCCCTTGCTGACCCTTCTGGGGGCCCTGTCCTGTCTCACTTCTCCACTGTCCTCCCGTGTCCGGCTGCCCCTTCGGGCACTCTGTCTGGTCTGTACCTTCCCTCGTTCTCTACGAACTTGGTGAGTGGAGCAGCCCTACAGGATGCGGGGGTTCACCAGTTCACTCCTGCGAGTCAGCGGGTGACCCATTGCACGGACGCACGCACAGGCCGACACCTGGCCACCTTCTCGCGTCGGCCGGGGTCGAGTCTCTACACCCTGACCACTTCATCTCCTCCTGTCCCTGCGTCCGGTCAGGTAGCTGCGTCAGGTCAGGTGCTTGCTGCTGCGTCCCGGTCAGGTCCTGAGTCTGCCCCCTGTTCTTGTCGCCTCCTGTCTCACGGGACTCTCCTGTGGCACCACCGTCTTGGCCACCCCTCCTAGCCCCGTCTACGGAGCATGGCCTCTCGTGTCCTTGTCTCTGGTCTTCCCCGGTCTCTCCCTCCTCTCCCCTCCGGGCCAGGACCTTCCTGTGTCCCCTGTGTCGAGGGTCGCCTCCGGGCTACTCCTCACTCCTCCCACTTCCCCCCGACAGAGGCTCCCCTGCAGACGCTTCACATGGATGTGTGGGGCCCGGCCCCCGTCCGTGGGCAGGGTTACGAGCGCTACTTCCTGTTGGTGGTTGACGACTACTCGCGTTACACCACAGTCCTCCCCTTGCCCAGCAAGGGTGCGGTCACTGAGGTGCTGATCGACTGGATCCGCGAGGCTCGTCTCCAGCTTAGGAAGAGCTTCGGCTCGGACTTTCCTGTTCTGCGTCTGCACTCGGACAGAGGCGGAGAGTTCTCCTCTCGCCTTCTGCGAGACTACTGTCGTGCACGGGGGATCCGCCAAGCCTTCACGCTTCCGGACTCTCCACAGCAAAATGGGATTGCTGAGCGCCGCATTGGCATGGTCATGGATGTCGCTCGTACGTCCATGATGCATGCGGCTGGACCCCATTTTCTGCGGCCGTTTGCGGTGAGGTACGCGGCGCATCAGCTCAACCTTCACCCCCGGGTCTCTAGGCCTGCGATGTCCCCAGCCTTGCTGTGGACGGGGAAGGTTGGCGATGCGTCTGCGTTCCGTGTCTAGGGATCTCGGGCGTTTGTCCGCGACTTGTCTGCGGACAAGCTGTCCCCTCGTGCTGCTCCCTGTGTCTTCCTTGGCTTCCCCACTGACGCCCCAGGGTGGCAGTTTTACCTCCCCTCCTCTCGTCGTGTTCTGTCCTCCCAGGACGTCACGTTCGACGAGTCAGTCCCCTTCTACCGTCTCTTCCCCTACCGCACTCCTTCCCTCCCCCCTCCCCCGGACTTCCTTGTGCCGGTTCCCCCCCCGGTAGACCCCCTCCCCCCTCAGGTTCCTGCCCCCTCAGGTGTGTCCCAGGTAGACGCCGTTGACCCGGTCGAGGTTACTGGTGACTCTGGTGCTGCTGCGGGTGCTGAGCCTGGGGGTGCTGACTCTGGGGGTGCTGTGCGTGGGGGTGCTGAGCCTGAGGGTGCTGGGCCTGGGGGTGCTACTGCGGAGGGTGCGGAGCCTGGGGGTGCTGAGCCGGGGGGTGCTGTACCTGGAGGTGCTGGGTCTGGGGGTGCTGGGTCGGGAGCTGCTGAGCCTGGGGGTGCTGAGCTGGGAGCTGCTGAGCCTGGGGGTGCTGCGTCTGGAGCTGCTGAGCCTGGGGTTTCTCCTGCTGCGCCTCGCCGGGAGCCCCTCTCTCCACAGGAGCTGCGCGAGTGGTTTGCTCGCCGCTGGAGGCGTGCTGCTGAGTCTGGGGGTGCTGCTGGAGCTGGAGCGGGTGCTTTTTCGACCGTCGAGGGTGCGGGTGCTGCTGGTCCCGGAGCTGCTGGGCCTGCGGGTCCTCCTGGAGCTGGAGCTGCTGAGGGTGTTGGTGCTGAGACTACTGCTGTTGGTCCTGTCGCTGGAGGAGTGGGTGGCGCTGGTGCTGTCGCTCAGGGTACTGGTGCTGTCCCTGCTGCGACTGGAGCTGCCGCGCGGCCTCGGTGGTACTTCGTTCCGCTTCTGCAGCAGGTTCTTGGTCTTTCTCCTTCAGTCGAGGGTCCTCCGCCTGTCCAGTCGCAGTCCCTACTGGAGCCTTCCTCTCCACTACCTGCTCCCTCTCCTTACACTGGTCCTACTGGAGGTCTTGCTGAGCGTCGTGAGCCTGCGTCTCGTCCCGCGTCGCCTGTTCGTGCTGCTCGCGCTAGTGGTCGCAGTTCGCGTCAGCGTCCTCCTCCTGTCCCTGGCACGCACCGGATGTCTTTGCGTCCGTCCACTGCTCCCCTGCGTGCCCCTTTGCCTTCTCCTCCTGAGTCCTCTCTTCCTGCGCTTGCCGACCCTGAGTCGGACTCTCTTCGTGCTGCCAGTCCTACTGTCACGCGTCTGCTTGCTACTGTCGTCACTGACCCCTCTTTTGAGTCCACTGCTGCGTCTGCTCTAGTCGCTGAGCTCGTTGACTTTGCTGCTCGCTGTCGTCTCGACTACGCTGCTAGTCTTATTGCTGAGTCTGCGTCTGTCTGTCCTCCGTCCGTCGGGGGTGAGTGTGCTCTTGGCACGGACGTCCTAGAGGACAGGCAAGAGGAGTTACAGTGTCTAGCGGCTGCTTCACCTCATCTCGCGTCTGTACTGCTTGCCCCTGAGGGAGACCCAGATCCACTAGACATCCCGACTCCGCGTTCTTACGCGGAGGCCGTAGAGGGTCCCTACTCCTCTCAGTGGCAGGCAGCTATGGATGCAGAGATGGCTTCCTGGAAGTCCACAGGCACCTACGTTGACCCGGTTCCCCCTCCTGGGGCGAACATCGTCAGTGGCATGTGGATCTTCAGGGTGAAGCGGTCGCCGGGCTCTCCACCTGTCTTCAAGGCGCGGTACGTTGCTCGTGGCTTCAGTCAGCGGCAGGGAGTTGACTACTTTCAGACCTTCTCTCCCACCCCGAAGATGACCACTCTTCGGGTGCTGCTGCACATAGCCGCTCAGCGCGACTACGAGCTTCACTCTCTCGACTTCAGCACTGCGTTCCTGCAGGGTAGCCTGCACGAGGAGATCTGGCTGCGCCGTCCGCCTGGCTTCACTGGGACTTTCCCTCCTGGGACCCAGTGGAGCCTCCGACAGCCAGTCTACGGTCTCCGCCAGGCAGCGCGTGAGTGGCACGACACACTGAGGACTACGCTTGCGGCTCTTGGGTTTGCTCCTTCTACTGCTGACCCGTCGCTGTTTCTACGCACCGATAGTTCCCTGCCGCCGTTCTACATCCTCGTGTACGTCGACGACTTGGTCTTTGCCACAGCGGACACTGCTGGACTCGCCTACGTGAAGTCCGAGCTGCTGAAGAGACACACGTGCACAGACCTGGGTGAACTGCGCAGCTACCTTGGCTTGCAGATCACTCGGGACAGAGCACGCCGCACCATTACCTTGACTCAGTCACACATGGTGCAGCAGGTCTTTCAGCGCTTCGGCTTCACGTACTCCTCGCCTCAGGCCACTCCTCTGCCTACTCGCCACTCACTCTCAGCTCTGCCTTCGGATGAGTCCGTAGAGTCGAGTGGTCCGTATGCAGAGCTTGTTGGCTGCCTCATGTACCTCATGACCTGCACACGACCTGACCTTGCATACCCTCTGAGCATTCTTGCACGCTATGTTGCTCCTGGGAGACACCGACCAGAGCACATGGCTGCAGCGAAGAGGGTATTGCGCTACCTGTGCAGTACGTCGGGCATGGGGCTAGTGCTTGGAGGGCGGAGTCCAGTGGTCCTTACAGGCCACGCGGACGCTTCTTGGGCTGACGACCAGGCTACGCAGCGGTCGTCACAGGGTTACACCTTCAGCCTTGGTTCCGGCTCTGTCTTGGGCGGTCTACTCGCTCGTCTTCGGTTCTCGGCTCCAGTTGTGAGGCTGAGATCTACGCCGGGGCCATGGCTGCACAGGAGCTTCGCTGGCTCACCTACCTGCTGACTGACCTTGGAGAGCCGCCTCGTTCTCCTCCAGTGCTGTACGTAGACAACATGGCCATGCTGGCCTTGTGTCGAGAGCAGCGCTTGGAGCACAGAACGAAGCACATTGCTCTCCGCTACTTCCTTGCTCGTGAGCTGCAGCAGCGTGGTCAGTTGCGACTTGCGTACGTGGCCTCTGAGGCCAACACTGCTGATGTGTTCACCAAGGCACTCGCGCCTTGTGACCATCAGCGTTTTTGCACCCAGCTGGGTCTTGTGCCTGTCTTGCCTCACTTGCTCTCCTCTTGACTTTACTTGTACTGTGACATATATATATACCTGCTCTTGCTTGTCTAGCTTTATATATATGTGTCTGTACTCTTGCATGTGAACTGGCCTTTGGCCTTGCTCTTGTGCTCGGACTGTGTGGTGACTTTGTGATCCACCCTGAGCTTGCTTTGCTTTGTTTGACTGGTCTTGTGACCCCTTGTTCTCCCCCACTTTGCCTATGGGGGTGTGTCAGAATATATCTATAGCTTATACTGTTGTGTAGGCTGTAGTGGGGTATTCCATAGGGGGTACAACCCAGTTAGGGTTTCATATTTGTACTGCCTTCATTCATAGTTCATTCATTCCTGCTCACTAGTTTCACACCTCATCCCGTCAGTTAGGGTTCGTTAAGCTCCGTCAGGCTGGTCAGCCCGTAAAAATGCTTCCGAGCCTCTCATACTGTCCAACCAAATGGAATCTTTGGTGCCTGGCGAACGCCCTTACTTTTCTCAAATTTCGGACGGCATCATGGCATTCGGAAATGGGGAAGTAATTTCCTCCCTGGGCAAACAAGAGTCCCATGCCATCCCATGGCAATCCACCATTTCACGGAGGACAGCAGTGGGATGGCAACGTCATTGACTGTTTGTCACGTTGGGGGAAGGTGGGGAGGCAGGTTCTATATGCGGTTGTCACATTTCCCATTTCGAGGCGGGAAATTTCGCGGGTGGCTTTCGCCCAAACCTCCTCGGAGGGTTCCGGCCCCGCTTCCCGATGCCGTGGCGATTCCGATGCCGTCATATTTTTTTCCAAATTTGCATGTGCTGGCCAACACTGACGTAACCTCGTCATCTACCGTCAGCAACTTCCGCCCTTGATGACGAAATTTCTCGTTCACGGTTGTAGCAGGAAGGGGGTGATATCGACTGGAGAAACTGCGTGGGAACCCACGTCATTTACCTTCGCCAGCCCTCCTCCCCCCCCCCCCCCGGCGCATGTGCCTACAGAACAGAGCCAACATTCAAGATCTTATACTATCAGGCACATATGCATGCACACTATGTCCAAATAGTGCCAGGTGTTTCCACCAATAATCTGTTGTCTACATTCACAGGTATGAGCTGTTTGTCTTCTAATTGAATGTATAGAATGTGCAACAGAGGAAAAACTCTCCAGGCACTGTATTTCCTTCTCTTGATCAATTAGCTCCTTGTAAATCGTAGCGCGTTTGAGACGGGAATCCAACTCTCACCCCACTTTCCAAGGTACAGTGCCAGGTGTTTCCACCAATAATCTGTTGTCTACATTCACAGGTATGAGCTGTTTGTCTTCTAATTGAATGTATAGAACGTGCAACAGAGGAAAAACTCTCCAGGCACTCGTATTTCCTTCTCTTGATCGATTAGCTCCTTGTAAATCGTAGCGCGTTTGAGATGGGAATCCAACTCTCACCCCACTTTCCAAGGTAAGCCCTGCCACCTAAATTCAGTAGGGAAATGGTGACTTCGCTCAAGGTCGTGTTGGCCGCATCATGCCAAGCATTCTCTCACGCTTGGCGCCAAGTCGTAAGAGCATGGCGATGAACGCCCGGATCCAGCGCGCTCTAACACTTGGCGCCAAGGCGTGAGAGCATGGCGATGAACGTCCTGATCCAGCGCGCTCTAACGCTTGGCGCCAAGGCGTGAGAGTATGGCGAATGAACGCCCTGGTCCAGCGCGCTCTCACGCTTGGCGCCAATGCGTGAGAGTATGGCGAATGAACGCCCTGGTCCAGCGCGCTCTCACGCTTGGCGCGCCGTGAGAGCATGGCGAATGAACGCCCGGATCCAGCGCGCTTTAACACTTGGCGCCAAGGCGTGAGAGCATGGCGATGAACGTCCTGATCCAGCGCGCTCTAACGCTTGGCGCCAATGCGTGAGAGCATGGCGAATAAACGTCCTGATCCAGCGCGCTCTCACGCTTGGCGCCAAGGCGTGAGAGCATGGCGAATGAACGCCCTGATCCAGCGCGCTCTCACGCTTGGCGCCAAGGCGTGAGAGCATGGCGAATGAATGCCCTGTTCCAGCGCGCTCTCACGCTTGGCGCGCCGTGAGAGCATGGCGAATGAACGCCCGGATCCAGCGCGCTCTCACCTGTTTCTCTCCCCCTGTGTCTCAGATCCGTTGTCTCACCTTCTTCCCAGCAGCAGGTCGGGCTGTGAATGCTTGCATTCACACGTGTTTCTCTCCCCCTGTGTCTCAGATCCGTTGTCTCACCTTCTTCCCAGCAGCAGGTCGGGCTGTGAATGCTTGCATTCACACGTGTTTCTCTCCCCCTGTGTCTCAGATCCGTTGTCTCACCTTCTTCCCAGCAGCAGGTCGGGCTGTGAATGCTTGCATTCACACGTGTTTCTCTCCCCCTGTGTCTCAGATCCGTTGTCACACCTTCTTCCCAGCAGCAGGTCGGGCTGTGAATGCTTGCATTCACACGTGTTTCTCTCCCCCTTTGTCTCAGATCCGTTGTCTCACCTTCTTCCCAGCAGCAGGTCGGGCTGTGAATGCTTGCATTCACACGTGTTTCTCTCCCCCTGTGTCTCAGATCCGTTGTCACACCTTCTTCCCAGCAGCAGGTCGGGCTGTGAATGCTTGCATTCACACGTGTTTCTCTCCCCCTTTGTCTCAGATCCGTTGTCTCACCTTCTTCCCAGCAGCAGGTCGGGCTGTGAATGCTTGCATTCACACGTGTTTCTCTCCCCCTGTGTCTCAGATCCGTTGTCTCACCTTCTTCCCAGCAGCAGGTCGGGCTGTGAATGCTTGCATTCACACGTGTTTCTCTCCCCCTTTGTCTCAGATCCGTTGTCTCACCTTCTTCCCAGCAGCAGGTCGGGCTGTGAATGCTTGCATTCACACGTGTTTCTCTCCCCCTGTGTCTCAGATCCATTGTCACACCTTACTAGTATTACTAGTAGCCGCCAGCGCGAGGTTCTAGAGATTGACGAGTCAAGGGTTCTCAAGGCGTCCGGCGCCAAGCCGCTATTTCCCCCGGCTGCCTGCGATGAAGCACCAGCGATGCCACCAGCTTTCTGCCTTGAAGGCAGCGCTCCCCGCCGCGCTCTCCCCAGCGCTCGCCATGGCGCTCTGGCTTGTCGCCTTCAACGTCTCGTCGTGCCACGCACAAGTGATAAATGCTTCTCAAGGTAGGAATACCAGTACCGCCCACCGTCCCACCCACCCTCCTCCACCCTGTGACAGTACTAATGGCTCAGCGATACTCGACTAGGGAGGCAGTTGAAGTAGTGTTACCTCTCCTTCCATTCCTCCCCTCCGAAGGGAGTACTCACGTGGCTCCCTCTCTCCTCCTCCCTCCCAAATTCCCTCCAACCCTCCTCCCTTCCTCTCCCACTCCCTCCCTCCCTCCTCCCTCCCTCCTCTACTTCCTCCTTCCCACCCCCTCCCTCCCCCACTCCCTCCCTCCCCCACTCCCTCCCTCCCCCACTCCCTCCCTCCCCCACTCCCTCCCTCCCCCACTCCCTCCCTCCCCCACTCCCTCCCTCCCCCACTCCCTCCCTCCCCCACTCCCTCCCTCCCCCACTCCCTCCCTCCCCCACTCCCTCCCTCCCCCACTCCCTCCCTCTCCCACTCTCTCCTCCCCCCCCCTCCCTCACCCACTCCCTCCCTCCCTCCTCCCTCCCTCTCCCACTCCCTCCCTCCCTCCCTCCTACTCCCTCCCTTCCCCCTCCCCCACTCCCTCCCTCCTTCCTCCCCCCCTCCCAACTCCCTCCTCTCCCCTTTCCTTCCGACGCCCGCCTCGCAGCTTATGCACGCATGCTATTATGATTGCTCATGTCACTCGTTTCTTATGCCCTCTCCTCGCCCCAACACTTCAGGGTTGTTTCTCAGCGACGTCCAGACGGAATGGGGCATGGGGTGGAAGGTGGGAGACAATTGCAGCACTGCGTTAGGTATCGAGTGCGACGCTTCAGGCATGATCACCTCGATGTGAGTGCACGCGTTAATATCTTTGATGGAAAGTTGCGTCTTCCATGACACACACACCATCTGCTGGTCTGCAGATGCTTTCTCCATTGCCCATGCACTCTGCATGCCTACTCCTCCCTCCTACTTCTGTTTGCACAAACCTTGTGGTCTCGCTTCATTGAGTTGACGTGTGCCTTCCTTAGTGGAACTCACAGTTGTCACTACACAATCTCTACCTTCACAATCACAAACCTCTTCAATTGCCTCGCTCTAGCCCTTATGAATCTATCATGCCGTCCAGGTTCCTGCCACCCTCTGTAGACAAGCATTCAAGCCTCTCGTCTCACCACGTGCAACTCACTCACCCCACTCAGGGATCTTGGCCGCAACGATCTCACAGGCTCCATTCCCGACAGCATCTCTGCGCTCACGGCCCTGGAATGGCTGTAAGAGGCACCCTAGGTTTGCTCCACCTGCGTGCTGCTCTGTCCACTGGGTGCTGCATGCCATGTGCGCATCACTGCTGGCGCTCCTCCATTGCCCATGCACTCTGCATGCCTACTCCTCCCCCCTACTTCTGTTTGCACAAACCTTGTGGTCTCGCTCATTAAGTTCACGTGTGCCTTCCTTAGTAGAATTCACAGTTGTCACTACACAATCTCTACCTTCACAATCACAAACCTCTACAATTGCCTCGCTCTAGCCCCTATGAATTTATCATGCTTTAGGTTCCTGCCACCCTCTGTAGACAAGCATTCAAGCCTCTCGTCTCACCACGTGCAACTCACTCACCCCACTCAGGATTCTTGGCGGCAACGATTTCACAGGCTCCATTCCCGACAGCGTGTCTGCTCTCGTGGCACTCCGATACATGTAAGAGGCACATTAGGTCTGCTCCACCTGCGTGTTCTGTCCACTGGGAGCGGCATGCCATGTGCGCATCACTGCTGGCGCTCCTCCATTGCCCATGCACTCTGCATGCCTACTCCTCCCCCCTACTTCTGTTTGCACAAACCTTGTGGTCTCGCTTCATTGAGTTCACGTGTGCCTTGCTTAGTAGAACTCACAGTTTGTCACTACACAATCTCTACCTTCACAATCACAAACCTTTACAATTGCCTCGCTCTAGCCCTTATGAATCTATCATGCATTCCAGGTTCCTGCCACCCTCTGTAGACAAGCATTCAAACCTCTCGTCTCACCACGTGCAACTCACTCACCCCACTCAGGGATCTTGGCCGCAACGATCTCACAGGCTCCATTCCCGACAGCATCTCTGCGCTCACGGCCCTGGAATGGCTGTAAGAGGCACCCTAGGTTTGCTCCACCTGCGTGCTGCTCTGTCCACTAGGTGCTGCATGCCATGTGCGCATCACTGCTGGCGCTCCTCCATTGCCCATGCACTCTGCATGCCTACTCCTCCCCCCTACTTCTGTTTGCACAAACCTTGTGGTCTCGCTCATTAAGTTCACGTGTGCCTTCCTTAGTAGAATTCACAGTTGTCACTACACAATCTCTACCTTCACAATCACAAACCTCTACAATTGCCTCGCTCTAGCCCCTATGAATTTATCATGCCTTCCAGGTTCCTGCCACCCTCTGTAGACAAGCATTCAAGCCTCTCGTCTCACCACGTGCAACTCACTCACCCCACTCAGGTATCTTGATGGCAACTATCTCACGGGCTTCATTCCCGACAGCATCTCTGCGCTCACGGCCCTGGAATGGCTGTAAGAGGCACCCTAGGTCTGCTCCACCTGCGTGCTGCTCTGTCCACTGGGTGCTGCATGCCATGTGCGCATCACTGCTGGCGCTCCTCCATTGCCCATGCACTCTGCATGCCTACTCCTCCCCCCTACTTCTATTTGCACAAACCTTGTGGTATTGCTCATTGAGTTCACGTGTGCCTTCCTTAGTAGAATTCACAGTTGTCACTACACAATCTCTACCTTCACAATCACAAACCTCTACAATTGCCTCACTCTAGCCCCTATGAATCTATCATGCCTTCCAGGTTCTTGCCACCCTCTGTAGACAAGCATTCAAGCCTCTCGTCTCACTACGCGCAACTCACTCACCCCACTCAGGGATCTTGTCAGCAACTATCTCACGGGCTCCATTCCTGACAGCATGTCTGCCCTCGTGGCACTCCAATACATGTAAGACGCACAATGGGTTAGCTGCACCTGCATGCTGTTTTGCCTACTGGTGCTACAAGCCATGCGCGCATCACTGCTGGCGCTCCTCCATTGCCCATGCACTCTGCATACTACTCCTCCCCCCTACTTCTGTTTGCACAAACCTTGTGGTCTTGCTTCATTGAGTTGACGTGTGCCTTCCTTAGTAGAACTCACAGTTTGTCACTACACAATCTCTACCTTCACAATCACAAACCTTTACAATTGCCTCGCTCTAGCCCTTATGAATCTATCATGCATTCCAGGTTCTTGCCACCCTCTGTAGACAAGCATTCAAACCTCTCATCTCACCACCTGCAACTCACTGACCCGACTCAGGAATCTTGGCAGCAACAATCTCACGGGGTCCATTCCCGACAGCATCTCTGCGCTCACGGCCTTGGAAAAGCTGTAAGAGGCACATTAGGTCTGCTCCACCTGCGTGTTCTGTCCACTGGGAGCGGCATGCCATGTGCGCATCACTGCTGGCGCTCCTCCATTGCCCATGCACTCTGCATGCCTACTCCTCCCCCCTACTTCTGTTTGCACAAACCTTGTGGTCTCGCTTCATTGAGTTCACGTGTGCCTTGCTTAGTAGAACTCACAGTTTGTCACTACACAATCTCTACCTTCACAATCACAAACCTTTACAATTGCCTCGCTCTAGCCCTTATGAATCTATCATGCATTCCAGGTTCCTGCCACCCTCTGTAGACAAGCATTCAAACCTCTCGTCTCACCACGTGCAACTCACTCACCCCACTCAGGTATCTTGATGGCAACTATCTCACGGGCTTCATTCCCGACAGCATCTCTGCGCTCACGGCCCTGGAATGGCTGTAAGAGGCACCCTAGGTCTGCTCCACCTGCGTGCTGCTCTGTCCACTGGGTGCTGCATGCCATGTGCGCATCACTGCTGGCGCTCCTCCATTGCCCATGCACTCTGCATGCCTACTCCTCCCCCCTACTTCTGTTTGCACAAACCTTGTGGTCTCGCTTCATTGAGTTCACGTGTGCCTTGCTTAGTAGAACTCACAGTTTGTCACTACACAATCTCTACCTTCACAATCACAAACCTTTACAATTGCCTCGCTCTAGCCCTTATGAATCTATCATGCATTCCAGGTTCCTGCCACCCTCTGTAGACAAGCATTCAAACCTCTCGTCTCACCACGTGCAACTCACTCACCCCACTCAGGGATCTTGGCCGCAACGATCTCACAGGCTCCATTCCCGACAGCATCTCTGCGCTCACGGCCCTGGAATGGCTGTAAGAGGCACCCTAGGTTTGCTCCACCTGCGTGCTGCTCTGTCCACTAGGTGCTGCATGCCATGTGCGCATCACTGCTGGCGCTCCTCCATTGCCCATGCACTCTGCATGCCTACTCCTCCCCCCTACTTCTGTTTGCACAAACCTTGTGGTCTCGCTCATTAAGTTCACGTGTGCCTTCCTTAGTAGAATTCACAGTTGTCACTACACAATCTCTACCTTCACAATCACAAACCTCTACAATTGCCTCGCTCTAGCCCCTATGAATTTATCATGCCTTCCAGGTTCCTGCCACCCTCTGTAGACAAGCATTCAAGCCTCTCGTCTCACCACGTGCAACTCACTCACCCCACTCAGGTATCTTGATGGCAACTATCTCACGGGCTTCATTCCCGACAGCATCTCTGCGCTCACGGCCCTGGAATGGCTGTAAGAGGCACCCTAGGTCTGCTCCACCTGCGTGCTGCTCTGTCCACTGGGTGCTGCATGCCATGTGCGCATCACTGCTGTCGTTCCTCCATTGCCCATGCACTCTGCATGCCCACTCCTCCCCCCTTCTTCTGTCTACATTGCGTTGCCACTCCTCGATCGTCTCTGCTGCACCAACCTTGTGGTCCCCCTTGCTTAGTAGAATTCACAGTTGCCACTACACAATCTCTACCTTCACAATCACAATCTCCAGGGTTTGCTACACCTGTGTGCAGTTCTGCCCACTGGGTGTAGCATGCCATGTGCGCATCACGGACGGTACGCATCCACTGCCCATGCACTCTTGCCCACTCCTCCCCCCTTCTGTCTGCATCACGTGGCTACCTCCTCGACCGTTTGCTGCACCAACCTTGTGGTCTCTCTTCACGAGTTCACGTGTGCCTTGCTTAGTAGAACTCTCAGTTGCTACTACACAATCTCAACCTTCACAATTACAAACCTCTACAATTGCCCATGCACTCTGCATGCCTACTCTTCCCCCCACCCCCATCCGTCTGCATCCCTTTGCCACTCTATGTTCCTCCTTGCTGGTTCAATCATTACATGCTTCTGGTGTTGTTGGAAATAAACGCTCCAAAAAACGCTTCTATCATGTCAAAACACCAAGGTACAAGCGAAGCAGATCATATTAAGATACAAGCGAGTCAACCCCCCAGAGGTTGAAATAACCGCTGGAGGCAATGTAAAAGTCAAAGGTCAAAGACCTTTGACCTGACAAAAGCAGTGCGACAGCAAGTACACATAACCGACTCACAGCTGCCACTACACAATCTCTACCTTCACAGTTATAAACCTCGACAATTGCCCTTATGAATCTATCATGCCTTCCAGGTTCCCACTACCCTTTGTACACAAGCATTTGAGCTTCTCGTCTTACCACACGTAGCTCACTCACCCCACACAGGAATCTTGGCCGCAACAATCTCACGGGTTCCATTCCCAACAACATGTCTGCTCTCGTGGCACTCCAAATCATGTAAGATATACAATGGATTAGCTGCACCTGCATGCTGTTTTGCCCAATGGTGTTGCATGCCATGTGCACATCACTGCTGATGCTCCTCCATTGCCCATGCACTATAAATTGTAAGTTCCAAGTGAAAACAACAAACCTTTAAGACTATGAGTTATATATCTTGACTACTCTGGAAGCGCGTACAAGTTCTCCAAACAAACATGGCTGAGTCACATGTCACGGCCATGGCACTATCCCACGGGCATTGTTACACATGCATGTGTAAACGGCCGAGGCACATTAGCATTCTCTCCGTCAATTTGCCCACTTTCCATCGCAGGGATATTTCTGAAAACGAGGTAACTTGTCCTGCTGACAACGCTAGCTGCGTCCTAACACCACCTTTTTTTGGCCTATGCCCTGGGAACTGTACCTCCACCTTTTGTCTTATATGCGGGCAACCAACACCTAAGCCTACTGGTATGGTTTCTGCTTTGGGTTGATCATTTCTGTTTTCGTTTTTTAAAACTATGTTCCGTAGCCCTGCTTCCGTCCGTTTCCCTAATTCCCCCCACCCTCCTCCTTCCTTCCCAACCAATCACATGCCCTTCTCCCACCCTTGCTTCCACAAATGCTTTGCTATGCTCTGATGTGACGCTTCACTCCACCCACTCTCCCCTTGCCAGGCTCTCTCGCTCTACCGGTTAGTGTCGTGGCCGCTGCCATTGCTGTTGCACTCACCTCACTGCTCTTCGTGTAGAGCAGAGCAGTAAACATGGAACAACAGGAGAGACAAGTCAGTGACAATATCGAATTGTAGTGAAAACATAGAATGATATTAGTAGTACCGAGTAGACCCTGAAGATAAACGTTAGAACCACCCACCAGTGCGCCTTTGTAGAAGTTGACCGTTTGATTGTGAGAGGCTGTTGGGTTGTTACTGGGACATTGTACACTTGCCAAGGTTTAGCAAGGGCAGGTTGTAAGTAGCATACGTATGAACACCATAAAAATGATTCTTTTTGTAATCAGGAAAGAGGAATGGTGAATAATTAGAAACAAGGTAAAACAAATATATTTAAGAGTAAAATTTAAGTATACATATCTTAACAAAATGTGAAACTAGGAAAATGTTCCAAATTCAAACGAAGTAACAATCAGGTTTAAACTCACTGCATAATGAAGACTTGTTCCGATATATAATATTATTTTAATTTTGCATTGTTTTGACAAATATAATAAGTAAAGCAGGAAAATGCATATAATTGAAGGTTTGAGCATAACTGCTTGTCGAGAAACAAGCGCATACGCTTATCATAGACCTGCGCTTATATCCGGGGCGATACGGTAGACCTCGGCCTCACAGCTGGAACCAAGTGCAGAAGAAGAGCGGATGGACCTCCATGAGACAGAAGAAGGCTGAAACTGTAACCCTGCGACGACCGCTGAGACGCCTGGTTGTCAGCCGAAGAAGCGTCCGAGTGATCTGCGGGAACAACTCGGTCTCGTCCTCCAAGCACAAGTCCCATGCCTGATGTATTGCACAAGTAACGCAGTATCTAAGTAACGCAGTATCTTATGTGCAGCCCACTAGTGCTCAGGGCGGTGTCTCCTCGGCACAACGTAGCGCGCCAGGATGCTGAGAGGGTACGCGAGGTCAGATCGAGTGCAAGTCATCATGTACATGAGACAGCCCACAAGCTCCGGGTACGGACCACTCGGCTCTACGTGTCAAATTACATTTGTAGTTACCAGCCTGTGCGTCGCGCCCTGCTACCCCGCGCGTCGCGCCCTGCTGCAGCCCGCGCGTCGCACCTGACTGCTGCCCGCACTCCGCGCTCTGCAGCCTGCACGTAGCGCTCTGCTGCCTAGCGCGTCGCGCCCTGCTGCCTAGCGTATCGCGCCCTGCTTCCCTGCCCAGCGCGTCGCGTCCTGCCCTGCCCCGCGCGTCGCGCCCTGCCCTGCCAGGGCGTCGCGCCCTGCCCTACCTAGCGCGCCGCACCCTGCCCTACCCCGCGCGTCGCCCTGCCCTGCCTTGCCAGTGCGTCGTGCCCTGCCCTGCGTAGCGCGTCGCGCCCTGCCCTACCAGCGTGTCGCCCCCTGCTGCCCTGCCCAGCGCGTTGTGCCCTACCTGCCCCGCGCGTCGCGCCCTGCAGTACGCGCTGCTGCTGCTGCCCGAGCTACTTCTGTCGCCCTGTGCTGCTGCTGCTATCGCCCTGCACTGCTGCTGCTGTCGTCCGGCACTGCTGCTACCGCCCGCACTGAGCTGCTGCCGCCGCCCGCGCTGCTGCTGCCGTTCGAGCTTCTACTTCCGCCCTACGCTACTGCTGCCGCCCGCTCTGTTGCTACCGCCCGAGCTGCTGCTGCCGCCCCACGCTGCTGCCTGAGCTGCTACTACTGCTGCCGCCCACACTGCTACTGCCGCACTGAACTGCTGTCGCCACTTGCGCTGCTGCTGCCGCCCGAGCTGCTGCTCCCGCCCTACGCTGCTGCTGCCACCCGAGCTGCTGCTACCACCCTACGCTGCTGCTGCCACCCTACGCTGCTGATGCTATAGCTACTAGTACTGCAACCGCTCCTGCGCTACTGCTACTCACTACCATGGCCCCTACCACTGTCCTACGCCAACGGCAGCCTCGTTTGCAGGAGCCTCTCTCACCGCAGTAGCTCCGCGAGTGGGCTATCCAGTGGGGCAGTCCCAGTGGAGGAGCTTGGCGTGCTGGTGCTAGAGGTGCTGGTGCTGGCGTTACTCGTCCCCGTCGATAACAGCGATAGCAGCGGCAGACTGCGACTCTTCACCGCAAGCTCCGTGAGTGGGCTATCAGGTGGGGCAGTCCCGGTGGAGGAGCTTGGCGTGCTGGTGCTAGAGGTGCTGGTGCTGGCGTTACTCGTCCCCGTCGACAGCAGCGATAGCAACGGCAGACTGCGACTCTTCACTGCAAGCTTCGTGAGTGGGCTATCAGGTGGGTTAATCCTGGTGGAGGAGCTTGGCGTGCTGGTGCTGGAGGTGCTGGTACTGGCGTTACTCGTCCCCGTCAACAGCAGTGGCAGCAGCGGCAGCCTGAGACACACTCGCCGTAGCAGGGTACTAGTGCTGGGGGTGTAGAGGCACCTGGTAGTGTAGAGGCTACTAGTCTAGGTGCTTGTGACTCGGCTAGCACAGGTGCAGAGTCTGAGGAGGCCCTGCACATTTTCACCCTGGACTCAGGCGCCTCTCGTTGTTTCTGGCAAACTTATATGCTATAGTCTGTGTAGGCTGTAGTGGGGTAGATAATATGGGGTACAACACTTTTAGGTTTACTACTTGTACCCACCTGCTTCCTAGTCATTTCATTCGCTCGTACAATTCTCACATGGTATAGAGCAGGTTCCCTAGTGGGACCGTTTTTTCTCTTTTTAGGGCCCACCACGATTTTTTTTTTCTCCTGCCCTGCCCGAAGCACGCTCCCGTGCCTGCATGCCCTGTCGCGCGCCTCGCGCCTGCCTCACATGTGCCCTTGCGCCTGCCCTGCCGTTGCGGCCCTACCTGCAGCCGTCGCGGCCCTGCCCTGTCGCTGTCGCGGCCCTGCCCTGCAGCCGCCGTCGCGGCCCTGCCTGCCGCCTTCACGGCCCTGCCCTACCGCCGTCGCGGCCCTTTCCTGCAGCCGCTGTTGTGGCCCTTCATGTAGCCGCCGTCGCGGCCGTTCCCTGCCACAGTCGCGGCCCTGCCCTGCAACCGGTGTCGCGGCCCTTTCTGCAGCCGCCGTCGCAGCCGTTCCCTGCCGCAGTCGCGGCCCTGCCCTGCAGCCGCTGTCGCGACCCTTCCTGCAGTCGCAGTCACAGCCCTGCCCTGCTGCCTTTGCGGCCCTGCCCTGACGCCTTTGCGGCCTTGCCTGCAGCAGCCGTCGCAGCCCTGCCTACAGTCGCCGTCACGGCCCTGCCCTGCCCGCCCGTCAGGCGCCTGCACTATCCGCGCCTGTCGAGCGCCTGCCCTACCCGCCACCGGTGGCACCTGCCCTACCCGCCCCTGGTGAGCACCTCCCCTACCCGCGCTGCCCGCGCATCTGCCCGACAAGCGCGCAACCGAGCCGCGCCGCCCAGCTGGGCCGGACCGCTCTGCCGAGCCGCGCCGCTCTGCAGATCCGCGCTGCCCTGCTCTACTGAGCCGCGCTGCTTTTGCTGCTACTGCTGCTGCTCCTGCTTCTACTGCTTGTCCTCCAACTACCGCTGCTGTCGCCATGGCTAGCCCTCATGTTCTAAACTTTGGTGCTGAGGGTCGTGCGGTCGATTTCGACGTGTGGGTCGATGATCTGCAGCTCTATCTGCAGCGTGACTCTAGGGACGGAGTCTCGCTGTTTGATCACATGTCTGGCGTCTCTGTTGCACCTGCTGCTGATGCTGACAGTACAGTTCGTTCGCAGTGGACTACTCGTGACACAGTTGTTCGCCTTGCTATTCGTAGTCACCTGCCGTCTGCTGAGCGCGCACACTTTGGCCAGTACAAGACTGCTAAGTCTTTGTATGACGTGGTAGTCGTGCGCTACTCCTCCCCTGCCACTGCTGCCCACAGCCGCCTCATGCTGCCGTACTTGTTTCCTGACCTAGCCGCCTTTCCCACAGTCGCTGACCTCATCACTCACCTCCGCCCTAGTGACACCCGCTACCGCGATGTGCTTCCCCTCGAGTTTTGCGCCAAGACCCCCCTCCCCCCCAAGTACATCACCCTCTTCTACCTCGTCACCCGTCTCCTTGACTCTTTTCGCTCAGTCATGGACCACTTCCTCTCTCTTTGCCCCACCACGCTCACTGTCGGCCTCCTCGAGAAGCACCTCCTAGCAGCTGAGACTGGCATAGTCGCTGTAGGAGCTTCTCGCGGCGACCCTCACGCCCCGTTCTTTGAGGGGTGTTATCCCGTTCCCCTTTTGCCCTCTATTGCCTCTGCTTCTGCTATCGACCTCGTTGGCACCGAGAAGGTCGGGGCTGTGACTGCTCCTAGTGGGAGGCGCAGCAGTGGCAAGGGTGGCGGCAAGGGCAAGGGGGGCAAGGGCAAGGGGGGCAAGGGTGGTGGTGGGGGCGGCGGGGGCGGCAGTGGTGGCGGTGGAGGAGGCAGAGGGGGTGGGGGTGGAGGTGGGGGTGGTGGCGGGAGTAGGGGTGTCGGCGACGACGGTGGAGGTGCTGGAGGCAGCGGTGGTGGAGGTGGCGACGGCGGTGGTGGTGGCCGAAGTGGAGCCGCGCAGCGTGGAGGCTTTTGGCGGTGGTCAGTGACAGCACCAGCCGCGCTCCCGTGATACTCTATCACCCCAGCAGCTTCGTGAGTGGTACGCTAGGCGTGGGAGGTCTGGGGGTGCTGGTCCCTGCACTTCCGTTCTCCGCACCCGCGACCGCAGTGGGGAGACGTGCGGGCTGCCACACGCGACGCAGCGCTGTTTTGGTCGCCTGACTGACGCCTGGCGCACACAGTTTCCTGACGCCATTGAGCTCCCTCGTTGGGCTGATCTGCTTAAGTCTGGTGTTGATATCTTTGCTCTTGACTATGATGCTATCCTTGCTGCCATATATGCTGTGACGATTAGTGCTGAGGGTGACTGTTACTTGTGTGTTCCGCCCGACCCGGGCATTAGGGCTGCTGCTCTAGGTGCTAGTGAGCATGCCGCTCCAGGTGCTAGTGAGTCAGCTGCTCCAGGTACTGGTGAGTTTTCTCTCTTAAGGTACTGTGCCCGCTGAGGCCTTGGAAACCTTCACATTTGACTCAGGTGCTTCCCGCTCCTTCTTTTGCGACTGCACCACTCTCACGCCGCTTAGTCGGCCAGTTGCGGTCTCCCTGGCGGACCCCTCTGGGGGCCCAGTCCTTGCGCATTCTTCCACGGCTCTACCGTGTTGGGCAGTCTCGTTTGGCTCACTGTCAGGACTCTACCTCCCCTTGTTCTCAACAAACTTGGTAAGTGGCGCTGATCTCCAGGATGTGTGGGCTGACCAGTTCCCTCCTGGAGGTCAGCGGATGACCCACTGCACTTGCTCCCGGACTGGTCGACACCTCGCCACGTTCACCTGTGTGCCAGGCTCGAGCCTGTACGCACTGACTACTGCGCCCCCCCCAGGTAGCTGCGTCTGCATCCGCGTCTGGTCAGCTAGCTGCCTCGTGCTCATGTCGGGCTCTGTCGCACCGGACCCTTCTTTGGCACCACCGTCTTGGTCACCCCACGATGGAGCGCCTTCGGGCCATGCACCGCCGTCTCCTGGTCTCTAGCCTTCCAGAGACTCTGCCTCCTACCTTCTCCTGCCCTGCCTTCCCTGTGTCGAGGGGCAGCAGCGCACTGCTCCTCACTCCTCCTCGTTCCCCCCGACGACTGCTCCCCTGCAGACCGTGCACATGGACGTGTGGGGCCCAGCCCGCGTCCGTGGGCAGGACCACGAGTGGTACTTCCTGCCAGTTGTTGATGACTACTCGCGCTACACGACGGTCTTCCCCTTGTGAACCAAGGGTGAAGTCCATGATGTTTTGATCCCTTAGATCCGCACTGCTCGTCTCCAGCTCCGCGAGCAGTTCGAGACGGAGTTTCCCGTCCTGCGTCTGCACTCCGACAAAGGTGGAGAGTTTTCCTCTGACCTGCTACAGAGCTTTTGTCGTGGGGAAGGCATTCGCCAGACGTTCACGCTTCCGGCCTCTCTGCAGCAAAATGGGGTTGCTGAGGGCCGCATTGGCTTGGTCATGGAGGTCGCTCGTACCTCCATGGTCCATGCGGCTGCCCCCCATTTTCTATGGCCGTTTGCGGTCCGCTACGCTGCGCATCAGCTCAACCCCTGGCCCCGTGTATCCTTGCCGGAGACCTCGCCCATACTGCGGTCGACGGGGAAGGTTGGCGATACGTCGGTATTCCGGGTCTGGGGTTCTCATGCCTTTGTCCGCGATACCACCGCGGACAAGTTCTCCGCCTGTGCTGTTCCCTGCGTCTTCCTTGGCTTTGTCCCTGACGGGCCTGGCTGGCAGTTTTACCACCCCACCTCGCGTCGAGTCCTGCCCTTTCAGGACTGTCAGATTTATATGACATAGCTGTTGTAGGCTATAGTGGGGTAGCACATATGGGGTACAGGTTTCTAGGGTTGTATTTGTACCCAATCTTTCCATAGTCAATTCATTCCTGTTCTTTAGTTTCACATGGTATAGAACAGGTTTCATGTGGGAACTTCGCTTGGGGCCCACCACTCGATATTTTTTTTTCCTGCCCGAAGCGCACTCGTTCCGAGTCGCGCCTTGGGCCTTTCTCTTACCGAGCCGCCCTAGCGGCCGACCCTTACCTCGCGGCCCCGCCGCCTCATCACGCGGCCCCGCCTCCTTTTTCCTCGCGGCCCCGCCGCACCTCGCTTGCGGCCCCGCCGCCCTGTCGAGCGGCCCCGCCGCCCTTCGTCGAACGGCCCCGCCGCCCTGTCGAGCGGCCCCGCCACCCTTCGTCGAGCGGCCCCGCCGCCCTTTCTAGCGGCCTCGCCGCCCTTCGTCGAACGGCCCCGCCGCCCTTTCCTCGCGGCCCCACTACACCGCCACGCGGCCCTCACGCCGCCCTTCCTGCGGCCCACCGGCCGCCCTATCTGCGGCCCACTCGCCGCCCTACCTGCGGCCCTACCGCCGCCCCAACCTGCGGCCCTTCGCCGCCCTACCTGCGGCCCTCACGCCGCCATGCCTGCGGCCCTACAGCCGCCCTACCTGCGGCCTACCAGCCGCCCTACCTGCGGCCCTACCGCCGCCCTACCTGCGGCCCTTAGCCGCCCTACCTGCGGCCCTACCGCCGCCCTACCCGCGGCCCTACCGCCGCCCTACCTGCGGCCCTCACGCCGCCTCACCTGCGGCCCACCCGCCGCCCCACCTGCGGCCCACCCGCCGCCTCACCTGCGGCCCACCTGCCGCCTCACCTGCGGCCCACCTGCCGCCTCACCTGCGGCACACCTGCCGCCTCACCTGCGGCCCACCCGCCGCCTCACGTGCGGCCCACCCGCCGCCCCACCTGCGGCCCACCCGCCGCCTCACCTGCGGCCCACCTGCCGCCTCACCTGCGGCCCACCCGCCGCCCTACCTGCGGCCCGCCCGCCGCCCTACCAGCGGCCCAGCCGCCCTACCTACGCGGCCCAGCACCAGCCGAGCCGCCCAGCAGCAGCCGAGCCGCCCAGCATCAGCCGAGCCGCCCAGCAGCAGCCGAGCCGCCCAGCAGCAGCCGAGCCGCCCAGCAGCAGCCGAGCCGCCCAGGAGCAGCCGAGCCGCCCAGGAGCCGCCGAGCCGCCCAGGAGCAGCCGAGCCGCCCAGGAGCCGCTGAGCCGCCCAGGAGCCGCCGAGCCGCCCTGCTACCGGACCGCCCGACCTGTCCTGTCTGGTGAGCACGGCACCGCCCCACTGCTACTGCGTCCCCTTCCCCACTGCTTGCACTGCTAGTCTGTCGTCATCGCTACCCCCAGTGTCCTCGCTTTTGACGCTGAGGGTCGAGCCATTGACTTTGAGGTCTGGGTCGACGACCTGCAGCTGTTCTTACAGTGCGACAGAGCGGACGGTCTTTCTCTCTTTGACCTCACCTCTGGCGCCTCCCCTGCCCCTGCTGCGGATGCTAACCCCACTGTTCGCTCTTAGTGTGCCACCCGCAATGCTGCTGCACGTCTTGCTGTGCCTCGCCACTTGCCCACCACTGAGCGCGCGCACTTTAGTAAGTACAAGAGTGCTCAGACCTTGTACGACGCTGTAGTTGCGCGCTACTCTTCCCTTGCCACTGCTGCACTGAGCCGTCTCATGCTACCGTACCTCTTTCCTGACATCACTGCCTTTCCCACTGTTGCTGACCTTGTTACGCACCTCTGCACTAGTGACACTCGCTACCGCGCTGCCCTTCCTGCTGAGTTCTGCGCCAAGAACCCTGTTAACGGGAATGGAGTGTTGGCCCCGCCCTCGCTTAGGCAACGCCAACAACTTGGTCGGATGTACGGAAGTAGCAGCCGACCGCTGACAGTGGGATAGCTGCTCGACAGGTTACGTCGAGCTGCAGCGGACCGCTGTGGTGTTGCTGTCGACCAGGATGCTCGACAACTGCACCTGACTGGCCTTGGCGACGGGTGAGCCGTCCGGGAGGTCGACGAAGGAGTCCGTCGACCTACAGTTCGACGGGGAGGTCAACGGAGCATCCCGTCGAACTGCAGCTCGACCGGGAGGTCAACAGAGCGTCCCGTCGAACTGCACCTCGACCGGGGGGTCAACGAAGCGTCCCGTCGAACTGCAGCTCGACCGGGAGGACGTCGGAGCAGTTCTGGTCGACGGAAGGGGTCCGTCGACCAAGGGGTAGCTTGACGGGAGGTGTGGTTGACTAGGAGCGCCCGGTGGTCGACCAGAGGGACCCAGTGGTCGACGGGAGGCACCTGGGAGTCGAGCAGAGCACCAGGGGTCGACCAGGTCGACCGGGTAACCTGCTCGACGAGTTCTGCGGAGGCACGCGAACGTCCTCGAGATCGCGATGGCGCAGGCGACATCGGGCTGGTATCCCAAAGTCGATGTGGCTCATCAGGCGCAGACAACAGCCGACGGATGCCCAACGAGGCAAGTCGGGCCAATCGTCTGCGCACACCTGCGAGCACGCGCACTGCTGTGTTCTAAGGGGCACGCCGTCGACCTGCTTTGTTGGCAGGTCGCCCTTCTGCAATGCTGGCGCGGCTCCTCTACGCAATGCTGGCAGGCGGTCGACCGAGCTGCGTTGGCGGTCGACCAGGCTAGCTGCAGGGTTGCTAGGTGCCTGATGTAGTCATTGTTGTCATTGCTTCTTGGATTATTCTGGAATTCCAACTTTGCTAGTGGAAACTCTTGCCAAATCCTTCCGTGAATGTGCAAACACTAAGGAACTAAGCAAAGCTAAGACCCCTGTAGTCTAGCTCACTACCGTTGTGGAGTTGATCTTCGCAACCCCCCCCCCCATGTACATCGCTCTCTATTACATAGTCACTCGTCTCCCTGACTCCCTTCGCGTAGTTAAGGACCACTTCCTCTCAGTCTGTCCCACCACCCTCACTGTCGACCTCCTCGAGAAGGCCCTCCTAGCGGCGGAGAAGAGCATAGTCGCTGTAGGAGCCTCTCGTGGTGACCCGCGCACCCCCATCTTTGAGGGGTGTTCTCCTTCCCCCCTGCTGCCCTCTGTTGCCTCTGCTGCTGCTGCCGACCTGCTTGGTCTTGCGTCGGTCGGCGCGGCGTCTGCCCCCAGCGGGAGACGCCGCACTGGCAAGGGCAAGGGGGGCAAGGGCGCGAGTGGAGCTGGCGGGGGCGGTGGAGGTGGCGGTGGAGGCGGCGGAGGGAGTGGGGGTGGCGGTGGGAGTGGTGGCGGGAGTGGTGGCGGTGGTGGCGGCAGCGGCGGCGGAGGAGGTGGGAGCGGAGGCGGTGGTGGTGGCGGAGGTGGAGGCGGTGGTGGTGGAGGAGGTGGAGCTGGTCGGGGTAGTGCCCCGCAGCGGAGCGGCTCTGGTGGTGGTCCGCGGCAGCAGCAGCAGCGCTCTCGGGACATCCCCCCGCCTCAGCAGCTCCGTGAGTGGTATGCGCAGAGTCAGCGTGGTGGGGGTTTTGGCCCGTGCACCTACGTTCTTCGCAGTGGCGACCGCGCGGGTGAGCAGTGTGGGGGTGCCCACGCCACCTGGCGCTGCTTTGGCCGCCTGACGGACGCTTGGCGTCAGCAGTTCCCTGACGCCTCTGAGATCCCCCGCTAAGGAGACCTTTCTAGAGCTGGTGTAGCGATCTTTGAGCTAGACTTTGATGCTATCCTTGTTGCCATGTATGCTGTGTCTATTAGTGATGAGGGTGACTGTTACCGGTGTTTCCCGCCCGACCCGGGCATTGGTACTGCTGCGCTCTCAGGTGCTGGTGAGGCTGCGCTTTCAGGTACTAGTGAGGCTGCTCTCTCAGGTACTGGTGAGGCTGCGCTCTCAGGTACCACGTCGGCTTCAGCCTCTCACACCTTTACACTTGACTCTGGGGCTTCTCGCTCCTTCTTTCGGGACCGCACCACACTCACGCCGCTCGGCCGGCCGGTTGCGGTCTCCCTGGCTGACCCCTCTTGGGGTCCTGTCCTCTCTCACTTCTCCACTGTTCTACCGTGTCCAGCTGCCCCCTCGGGCGCCCTGTCAGGCCTGTACCTCCCCTCGTTCTCGACGAACTTGGTGAGTGGTGCTGCCCTACAGGATGCGGAGGTTCACCAGTTTACTCGTGCGAGTCAGCGGGTGACCCACTGCATGGACGCGCGCACAGGTCGGCACCTGGCCACGTTCTCCCGTCGGCCGGGGTCGAGCCTCTACACCCTGACCACTGAGTCTCCTCCTGTCCCTGTGTCTGGCCAGGTAGCTGCGTCGGGTCAGGTGTTTGCTGCCGCGTCCAGGTCTGGTCCTGAGTCTGCCCCCTGTTCGTGTCGCCTCCTGTCTCACGAGACTCTCCTGTGGCACCACCGTCTTGGCCACCCCTCCTTGCCCCGTCTCAGGGACATGGCTTCTCGTGTCCTTGTCTCTGGTCTTCCCCGGTCTCTCCCTCCCCTTCCTTCGGGGCCAGGACCTTCTTGCGTCCCTTGTGTCGAGGGGCGCCTCCGGGCTGCCCCCCACTCCTCACAGTTTCCTCGGACAGAGGCTCCTCTGCAGACGCTTCACATGGACGTGTGGGGCCCGGCCCGCGTCGGTGGACATGGTCACGAGCGCTACATTCTGCTGGTGGTTGACGACTACTCGCGTTTCACCACAGTCTTCCCATTGCGCAGCAAGGGTGATGTTACTGGGGTGTTGATCGACTGGATCCGCGCAGATCGTCTCCAGCTCAGGAGGAGCTTCGGCTCGGACTTTCCTGTTCTGCGTCTGCACTCTGATCGAGGCGGAGAGTTTTCCTCTGGCCTTCTTCGAGCCTACTGTCGTTCACAGGGCATCCGCCAGACATTTACGCTTCCGGACTCTCCACAGCAAAATGGGATTGCTGAGCGCCGCATTGGCATGGTCATGGACGTCGCTCGTACGTCCATGATGCATGCGGCTGCCCCCCATTTTCTATGGCCGTTTGCAGTATGGTACGCGGCGCATCAGATCAACCTTCACCCCGGGGTTTCCGGCCGGGGAAGGTCCGTACCTCCTCGGCCCTCCTGTGGACTGGGAAGGTCGGCGATGCGTCTGCGTTCTGTGTCTGGGGATCTAGGGCGAGTGTCCGCAACTTGTCTGCGGACAAGCTGTCCCCTCGTGCTGCTCCATGTGTCTTCCTTGGCTTCCCCCCTGACGCTCCCGGGTGGCAGTTCTACCACCCCTCCTCTCGTCGTGTTCTCTCCTCCTAGGACGTCACGTTCGACGAGTCAGTCCCCTTCTACCGCCTCTTCCCCTACCGCACTCCTTCCCTCCCCCCGCCACCGGACTTCCTTGTGCCAGGTCCCCCCCCGGTAGACCCCCTCCTCCCTCAGGTTCCTGCCCCTTCAGGTGTGTCCCAGGTAGACGCCGTCAAGCCGGTTGAGGTTGATTGTGACTCTGGTCCTGCTGCGGGTGCTGAGCCCGGGGGTGCTGACTCTGGGGGTGCTGTGCGTGTGGGTGCTGAGCCTGGGGGTGACGAGCCTGGGGGTGCTGTGCGCGTGGGTGCTGAGCCTGGGGGTGACGAGCCTGAGGTTGCTGAGTCTGGGGGTGCTGCGCCAGAGGGTGTTGCGCCTTGAGGTGCTGCGTCTGGAGCTGCTGAGCCGGGAGGTTCTCTTGATGCTCCGTCTTGGCGAAAGCCCCTCTCTCCACAGGAGCTGCGCGAGTGGTTTGCTCGCCGCTGGAGGCGTACTGATGGAGCTTCTTCGGCCGCTGAGGGTGCTGGTGCCGCCGGTCCTGGAGCTACTAGGCCTTCAGGTCCTACTGGAGCTGGAGCTGCTTCGGGTGTTGGTGCTGAAACTGCTGCTGTCTTCCCTGGCGGTGGTCCTGCTGCTGGTGCGACTGGAGGTCCTGCCGCTGGCGGTGCTGTTGGCGCTGGTGCTGCCGCTGAGGGTGCGAGTACTGTCCCTGCTAGGCCTGGAGTCCCCGCGCGGCCTTGGCCGTACTTCGTTCCGCTCCTGCAGCAGGTTCTTGGTCTTCCTCCTTCTGTAGAGTGTCCACCGTCTCTCCAGTCGCAGTCACTGTTAGAGCCGGCCTCCCCACTGCCTGCTCCCTCTCCTTACTCTGGTCCTACTGGAGGTCTTGCTGAGCGTCGTGAGCCTGCGTCTCGTCCCGCGTCGCCTGTTCGTGCTGCTCGCGCTAGTGGTCGCGGTTCGCGTCAGCGTCCTCCTCCTGTCCCTGGCACGCACCGGATGTCTCTGCGTCCGTCCACTGCTTCTCTGCATGCCCCTTTGCCTTCTCCTCCTGCGTCCTCTCTTCCTGCGCTTTCCGAACGGGAGTCGGACTCTCTTCGTGCTGCCAGTCCTACTGTCACGCGTCTCCTTGCTACTGTTGTCACTGACCCCTCTTTTGAGTCCACTGCTGCGTCTGCTCTTGTCGCTGAGCTCGTTGACTTTGCTGCTCGCTGTCGTCTAGACTACGCTGCTAGTCTTGTTGCTGAGTCTGCGTCTGTCTGTCTTCCGTCCGTTGGGGGTGAGTGTGCTCTTGGCACGGACGTCCTTGAGGACAGGCAGGAGGAGATCCAGTGTCTGGCTGCTGCTTCACCTCATCTCGCGTCTGTACTACTTGCCCGAGAGGGACACTCGGATGCACTAGACATCCCGACTCCGCGTTCTTACGCGGAGGCCGTAGAGGGTCCCTACTCCTCTTAGTGGCAGGCAGCTATGGATGCAGAGATGGCTTCCTGGAAGTCCACAGGCACCTACGTTGACGAGATTCCCTTGCCTGGGGGGAACATCGTCAGTGGCATGTGGATCTTCAGGGTGAAGCGGCCGCCTGGCTCTCCACCTGTCTTCAAGGCGCGGTACGTCGCTCGTGGCTTCAGTCAGCGGCAGGGAGTTGACTACTTTAAGACCTTCTCTCCCATCCCGAAGATGACTACTCTTCGGGTGCTGCTGCACATAGCCGCTCAGCGCGACTACGAGCTTCACTCTCTTGACTTCAGCACTGCTTTCTTGCAGGGCAGCCTGCACGAGGAGATCTGGCTGCGCCGTCCGCCTGGCTTCACTGGGACTTTCCCTCCTGGCACCCAGTGGAGCCTCCGACGGCCAGTCTACGGTCTCCGCTAGGCACCGCGTGAGTGGCACGACACACTGAGGACTACGCTTGCGGCTCTTGGGTTTGCTCCCTCTTCTGCTGACCCGTCGTTGTTTCTGCGCACCGACACTTCTCTGCCGCCGTTCTACATCCTCGTGTACGTCGACGACTTGGTCTTTGCCACAGCGGACACTGCTGGACTCGCCTACGTGAAGTCCAAGCTGCTGAAGAGACACACGTGCACAGACCTGGGTGAACTGCGCAGCTACCTTGGCTTGCAGATCACTCGGGACAGAGCACGCCGCACCATTACCTTGACTCAGTCACACATGGTGCAGCAGGTCCTTCAGCGCTTCGGCTTCACGTACTCCTCGCCTCTGGCCACTCCTCTGTCTACTCGCCACTCGCTCTCAGCTCTGCCTTCGGATGAGTCCGTAGAGTCGACTGGCCCGTACCCAGAGCTTGTTGGCTGCCTCATGTACCTGATGACCTGCACACGACCTGACCTTGCATACCCTCTGAGCATTTTTGCACGCTATGTTGCTCCTGGGAGACACCGACCAGAGCACATGGCTGCAGCGAAGAGGGTGTTGCGCTACTTGTGCAGTACGTCGGGCATGTGGCTAGTGCTTGGAGGGCGGAGTCCAGTGGTCCTCACTGGTCACGCGGACGCTTCTTGGGCTGACGACCAGGCTACGCAGCGGTTGTCGCAGGGGTACACCTTCAGTCTTGGTTCTGGCTCTGTTTCTTGGCGGGCTACTCGCTCGTCTTCTGTTCTCAGCTCCAGCTGTGAGGCTGAGATCTACGCCGGGGCCATGGCTGCACAGGAGCTTCGCTGGCTCACCTACCTGCTGACTGACCTTGGAGAGGTGCCTCGTTCTCCTCCAGTGCTGTACGTAGACAAGAAGGCCATGCTGGCCTTGTGTCGAGAGCAGCGCTTGGAGCACAGAACGAAGCACATTGCTCTCCGCTACTTCCTTGCTCGTGAGCAGCAGCAGCGTGGTCAGTTGCGACTTGCGTATGTGGCCTCTGAGGCCAACACTGCTGATGTTTTCACCAAGGCACTTCCGCCTTGTGATCATCAGCGCTTTTGTACTCAGCTGGGACTTGTACCTGTCTTACCTCACTTGCTCACCTCTTGACCTTGCTTCTACTCTTGCATATATATATACCTGCTCTTGCTTGTCTAGCTTTATATATATGTGTCTGTACTCTTGCATGTGAACTGGCCTTGTGGCCTTGACCTTGTGCTCGGACTTTGTGGTGACTTTGTGATCCACCCTGAGCTTGCTTTGCTTTGCTTTGCTTGACTGGTCTTGTGACCCCTTGTTCTCCCCCACTTTGCCTATGGGGGTGTGTCAGATTTATATGGCATAGCTGTTGTAGGCTATAGTGGGGTAGCACATATGGGGTAGAGGTTTCTAGGGTTGTATTTGTACCCAATCTTTCCTTAGTCAATTCATTCTTGTTCTTTAGTTTCACAAGGACGTCACGTTCCACGAGTCGGTTCCTTTCTACCGTCTCTTCCCCTTCCGCACTGCCCCTCTCCCCCCCTCGCCACTCTTCCTTGCACCAGGTCCTCCCCCGGTAGACCCCCTCCCCCCTCAGGGTCCTGCTCCCTCAGGTGTGTCTCAGGTAGACGCTGTCGAGCCTGTCGAGGTAGCGGTTGACTCTGGTGCTGATAGGGGTGCTGAGCCTGCGCGTGCGGAGCCTGGGGGTGCTGAGCCTGGGGGTGAGCCTAGGGGTGCTGCGCCAGGGGGTCTTGAGCCTTGGGGTACGGCGTCTAGGGGTGCTGAGCCTGAGCTTGTGGAGTCTGGGGGTGCTGAGCCAAGAGGTGTTGAGCCTGCGGTTGCTGAGACGGGGGGTGCTCAGTCTGCAGGAGATCCTGCAGGGGCCTCGTCTCGGCGGGAGCCTCTCTCTCCGCAGAAGCTACGAGAGTGGTTCACTGGTCGCTGGAGGCGTTGGGGCGGAGCTGCTGCGGCTAAGGGGCCTGCCGCGGGTGACCCTAGAGCAAAAGGTGCTGGAGCTGCTGCTGCTGGAGGTACAGGAGCCACTGGAGCTGGTGGTTTTGCTGGTGTTGGAGCCGGCGCTACTGGAGCTGTTCCTATTGGAGGTGCTGCTGGTGCTGGAGCTAGTGGTGCTGCAGGAGTTGGAGCTGCAGGTGCTGGAGCTGTTTCTGCTAGTGGTGCTGCTGGTGCTGGAGCTCGTGGTGCTGCAGGAGTTGGAGCTAGAGACCTTGGAGCTAGAGGTGCTGGAGGTCCCTCTACTGGTTCTAGTGGTGCTGTACGACCACGGCCGTACTTCGTTCCACTCCTTCAGCAGGTTCTTGGTCTCCCGCCTTCTACTGGTCCTACTCCTCCCTTTGAGTGTCCATCGCCTGTTCAGTCGCAGTTACAGCCAGCCTCCCCACTGCCTGCTCCTTCTCCTTACACTGGTCCGACTAGAGGTCTTACTGAGCGTCGTGAGCCTGCGTCTTGCCCTGCATCGCCTGTTTGCGCTGCTCGCACTGGTCCTTGTGTTCTGCGTCTGCGTCCTCCTCCTGTCCTTGGCACGCACCAGATGGCACTGCATCCTTCCACAGCTCCACAGCGTGTCCCTCTGCCATCTCCTTCTACGTCCTTCCTTGCTGACGGTCCGGACCCAGAGTCTTACTCCCTTCGTGCTGCTAGTCCTACTGTCACACATCTCGTGGCCACTGTTGTCACTGACCCTTCCTTTGAGTGCACAGCTGCGTCTGCCTTAGTTGCTGAGCTTGTCAACTTTGCAGCTCGTTGTCGTCTAGACTACGCTGCTAGTCTTGTTGCTGAGTCTGAGTTTGTCTGACCTCCATCCGTCGGAGGTGAGTGTGCTCTTGGCACGAATGTCCTTGAGGACAGGCAGGAGGAGTTTCAGAGTTTTGCCACTGCCTTACCCCATCTCGTGTCCATGTTGCTTGCACTTGAGGGAGACCCGGATGCACCACACATCCCGACCCCGCGCTCTTACGCTCAGGCGATAGAGGGTCCCTACTCCTCTCAGTGGCAGACAACCATGGACACAGAGATGGCATCTTGGAAGTCCACATGCACTTACGTCGACGAGGTTCCCCCACCTGGGGCGAACATTGTCGATGACATGTGGATTTTCAGGGTGAAGCGGCTGCCAGGTTCTCCGCCTGTCTTCAAGGCGCGTTATGTTGCTCGAGGCTTTAGTCAGCGACACGGAGTTGCCTACTTTCAGACCTTCTCCCCTACCCCAAAGATGACCACTCTTCGGGTGCTGGTGCACGTCACCGCTCAGCATGACTACGAGCTTCACTCTCTTGACTTCAGTACAACCTTCCTACAGGGCAGCCTGCACGAGGAGATCTAGCTGCCCCGCCCTCCTGGCTTCACTGGGTCGTTCCCTCTTGGTACCCAGTGGAGCCTCCGGCGGCCTGTCTACGGTCTTCGTCAGGCCCCTCACGAGTGGCACGACACACTGAGGACGACGCTTGCGGCTCTTGGGTTTGCTCCTTCTATTGATGATTCGTCGTTGTTTCTACGCACCGACACTTCGTTGCCGCTGTTCTACATCCTCGTATACGTCAACAACTTGGTTTTCGCCACTGCTGACACTGAGGCACTGACTCTAGTGAAGTCGGAGCTGTAGAAGAGACACACATGCACAGACCTCGGTGAGCTGCGCAGCTATCTTGGCTTGCAGATCACTCGGGACAGAGCACGCCGCACCATCACCCTGACTCAGTCACACATGGTGCAGCAGGTCCTTCAGTGCTTTGACTTCCAGTACTCCTCGCCACAGTCCACTCCTCAGCCTACTGGTCACTCGCTCTTAGCTCTGCCTTCGGATGAGTCCGTAGAGCCGAGTGGCCCGTATCCAGAGCTTGTGGGCTGCCTCATTTACCTGATGACCTGCATTCGTCCTGACCTTTCTTACCCTCTTAGCATCCTAACACGCTATGTTGCACCCAGGAGACACCGACCAGAGCACTGGAAGGCAGCTAAGAGGGTGATGCGCAACTTGTGCAGTACGTCGGCCATGGGGCTTGTGCTTGGAGGACGGGGTCCAGTTGTCCTCACTGATCACGCAGATGCTTCTTGGGTTGATGACTTGGCTACGTAGAGGTCGTCATAGGGTTACACATTCAGTCTTGGCTTTGGTTATGTTTCGTGGCGGTCTACCCACTCGTCTTCTGTTCTCAGCTCTAGTTGTGAGGCTGAGATCTACGCAGGGGCCATGGCTGCACAGGAGCTACGCTGGCTCACCTACCTGCTGACCGGCCTAGGCGAGGCGCCTCGTTCTCCTCCAATTCTGTACGTCGACAACAAGGGAATGCTTGCCTTGTGTCGCGAGCAGAGAGTGGAGCACAGAACGAAGCACATCGCTCTTCGCTACTTCCTTGCTCGAGAGTTGCAGCAGCGTAGTCAGCTTCCTCTTGTTTACATGGCCTCTTAGGCCAACACTGCTGATATCTTCACCAAGCCACTTCAGCCTTGGGATCATCAGCGGTTCTATACTGTTCTAGGCCTTGTGCCCACTTGGCCTCAGTTGCTCACTTCTTGACTTTGCTTGTACTGTGATCTCTATATATATTCTGCATGCTTACACTTGCTAGGTTGTGAGCACTGTCTTGCTTGTTCTGCTTTATATAACTCCGCATGTGAACTGGCCTTGTGGTCGCTTGCTTGTGCTCGGAATGCGTGGTGACGTCTCGATCCACCCTGAGCTTGCTTTGCTCTTCTTGACTGGTCTTGAGACCTCTTGTTCTCCCCCAATTTGCCTATGGGGGTGTGTCAAACTTATATGCTATAGTCTGTGTAGGCTGTAGTGGGGTACACAATATGGGGTACAACACTTTTAGGTTTACTCTATGTACCCACCTGCTTCCTAGTCATTTCATTTTCTCGTACTATTCTTACAGTTTCTTCCGCGACAGCACCACAGTCACACCACTCATTGTCCCTATCCCTATCACTTTGGCTGACCCGTCTGGTGGTCCAGTCATTGCACGCGGCTCCACTGTTCTCCCGTGTCTAGCAGCCCCCTCCAGTTCTCTTATTGGTCTCCACCTCCCCTCATTCGCTAAGAACTTGGTGGCAACAGCTGTCCTCCAGGATCAATGGGTCACCATCACTCAGCCTGGGGGTGAGCTAGTGGCGATATGTACGGACTCCCGCACTGGCGAGCACTTAGCCACGTTCACTCGGAGACCTGGGTCTAGCCTGTACACACTGACCACTGAGTCTGCACTGGTGGCTGAGTCCGGTCAGGTATCTGCGTCTGGTGAGGTGGCTTCGGCGTGCTCGTGTCGGCTGCTCACGCAGCCGGCTCTACTTTGGCACCACATGCTTGGTCACCCCTCCCATCTGCGTCTCCACAGCATGCACTCCCGTGCCCTTGTCTCTGGCCTCCCCAGGTCTCTGCATCCGCTCCCGAGGTCTCTTGCGCCACCGTGCCTTCCCTGCGTCGAGAGGCGGCAGCGTGCCGCTCCTCACTCCTCTGAGTTTCCTCCTACCACTGCCCCGCTGTAGACCCTCCGCATGGACGTGTGGGGTCCAGCTCATGTCACGGGTTAGGGTTGAGAGCGCTACTTCTTGCTGGTTGTTGACGACTACATGCGCTACACTACGGTCTTCCCCTTACAGAGCAAGGCGGAGGTCCGTGATGTCTTGATCCGCTGGATTCGCGCTGCTCATCTTCAGTCTGCACTCTGACCGAGGTGGCGAGTTTTCCTCCACCCTCCTCCGGGACTTCTGTGCTGCCGAGGGCATTGTCCAGTCGCTCACGCTTCCGGCCTCTCCGCAGCAGAATGGGATTGCAGAGCGCTGCATTGGCTTGGTCATGGAGGTTGCTCGCACCTTCCTGGTCCATGCGGCTGCTCCCCATTTCCTGTGGCCGTTTGCGGTCCGATACGCTGCTGCGCAACTCAACCTCTGGCCCCGTGTCTCCCACCCGGAGACCTCCCCCACTCTGCGGTGGATGGGCGAGGTTGGTGATGCGTCGGTGTTTTGGGTCAGGGGTGCTCTTGTGCTTGTCCGCGATCCGCCCTCGAGCAAGCTCTCTCCTCGCATTCTTCACGGTGTCTTCCTTGGCTTCCCTACCGACGCCCAGCCTTGACTGTTTTACCTCCCGGTTTCTCGTCGAGTCCTCTCTTCCCAGG